CAGACAGACAGACAGACAGACAGACAGACAGACAGACAGACAGACAGACAGACAGTCAAACAGAGAGGGAGGGAGATGGAGGGATAGGTGGTTAGTTTCTAGGAAGCTGTTTGGATAATTCAATTCTGTGACATTATGAACAAGTCGCAAGATTCCTCTTGAGCTATTATTCCCACAAAGAAAATACAGTATTATATTTGCAAAGTTCGTTTCTGTCATGTAAATACATACATCAACAACTTTGTACGTTTCCAATATATTATTCTGGTAATCGTTGTATTTATTTTAATGTATAATTATAGAGAGCAAGAGAGGCCAAGAGAAAGAGAGAAAGAGAATGAGAGAGAGAGAAAGAGAGAGAGAAATGGAGAGAGAGAAAGAAAGAGAGAAAGAAAGAGAGAAAGAAAGAGAGTGGGGGGAGGGGAACTGCACAAGAGCGATAGGAGAAATGTCCGCATCCGATGAAGACAAAGCGAAATGGCTTGCTGCTTAGAAGATATACGGAAAAGTCAGTACATTAAAACATTTGAATTCAAATTTAAAAAAGAATGAAAGAAAGAAAGATAGACAGAAAGAAAGAAAGAAAAAAGAATGAAAATACACAAAAATCCAAATGAACACAATAACTGCACTGGCCCTCAGACCAAGAGAGAAATTTAAAACTCACGTTTCTTGTAGATTGTTCTGTCTGTGGTTTTTTCTGTTTCTGCAGTCGGAACTCTTTCAGCTTTCGGAACAAACTTTTTCAAACTTCGCCAAAAATTTGTTGGAATTAATAAAAACACAAAATTCGTTTCTCTGCTTTGGTTTCAAACTAAGTTGCTGGCGGAGTCTCAAGGATTCTAAAGAAGCTCAAAGTTCTAGCTGCTGTGGGTTCCGTGTCTAAATCAATTCTTGTTTTTCCTGCTTTCTTAATGGTTTGCTCCGTTCACGCGGTAAGCGTTATGGTTTTTAAACAGCGGTATCTACCTACGCTCTCTTGCGAGCGCTGTCAGACTCTCTTGGTGACGAAATGGCGTGGCGTCTGTTGCTAAGGCAGGGGGCGCGCGCGACTCACGGGGCACAGTATTGGCACAGGAACTGGTGACGTATACGGCAGGCTCTCCACCGCTTCCAGCGTGGGGTTCGTTCCTTGTCCAATCAGAAAAGGTGTGTGCAGATCAAGCAGAAAATTAATAATCATAATAATGATGGAGTGTCGTAGTATGGGGTGGGATGGGTTACGGTGGTTTGGGGGAGGGGGGGTGGTTCTATGCGGGGGTGAGATTTCTTGTTTTGGACTAACGGGAAACAGAAGATGACGAACGGGAAAAGGGGGAAAGAGAAAGAATGTGACATAAAAAGAGAGGTAAGGGAAGAGAGAGAGAGAGAGGGGGGCACACACAGAGAGAGAGAGAGAGAGAGAGAGAGAGAGAGAGAGAG